ACCAAAGACACAAGGAAAGTATTAGCCCAAGAGACAGAAAGGGCCACATAAACCAGAGACTTCATCAGCCTGAGACCAGAAGAACTAGATGGTGCCCAGCCACCACCAATGACCGCCCTGACAGGGAGCACAACAGAGAGTCCCTGATGGAGCAGGAGAAAAGCAGGGTGCAGAATTCAAATTCTAGTAAAACGATCAGGCTTAATGGTCTGACTGAGAGCAGAAGAACCCCAGAAAGCATGGTCCCTGGACTCTCTGTCAACCCAGCACTAAAACCATTCCCGAGGCCAACTCTTCAGACAAAGATTAGACTGGACTATGGGACATAAAATGTTCTGGTGAAGAGTGTGCCTCTTAGCTCAAGTAGATACAGGAGACTAAATGGGCAGCTCTGTCCAGAGGTGAGATGAGAAGGCAGAGAGGGTCAGGAGCTGGCTGAAGGGACACGGGAAATCAGGGGTGGAAAGGAGAAATATGCTGTCACAGCATAGGGAGAGCAGCTAGGGTCACGTAACAACGTATGTATAAGTTTTTGTATAGGAGACTAACTTGAATTGTGAACTTTCACTTAAAGTACAACAATAAAACTCAAAAAAAAAAAAAAAAGATTTTTCTGGAAACTTCACACTGAAATGGCTTCCTTTGATATCCCTCCTCAAGGACCAGTTGTCCCTCACCAGCCAGTGGATTTATCCAAAAATCGTGTAAACAAGAGCCTCTGTTCCCAGACTCTGTAGTTTATTTTTTCTCTCCTCTCTCCCCATTCTCTTACGTCGTTATTGTTGGTTGCCATCAGGTCAATTCCGACTCATGGCGACCCCGTGTGTTACGGAGTAGAACTGTGCTCCGTAGGGTTTTCTTGGCTATAATCTTTACAGAAGCAGATTGCCAGGACTTTTCTTCCACCGTACTGCTGGGTGGGTTCAAACCACCATCAGCAAAAACCATTTGCACCACAATGTCCCTCGTGTGATTTGTGTGCAAGGTAACTAACTAAATGTCTGAGTTATTCTTGGACAGTAACCACCCTCCTGGCGTATCACGGGGATACCAAGATTAGCTTTGCCTCTTCTTGAACTTTCTAGGAACGGAACCCCACACTATGTGCTGTTTTGCATCTGGATTCCTTCCTTCAACATTATGTCTATGGATTCGTCGACGTGGTTGATGTATTTTAGTTTATTCATTCTCACTGCTATATGGCATTCTGTTCCCTGGGTGACATAATGAGCAGTCAGGGTTGAGAACGTCATCTAGGCAGTGCCAGGGGCTAGGAGGTCATGTCTAGTCCACCATCCTCTCTCGCCTAGTCCTGGGCACAGCCACCCCTGTGGTCTTCCTGCTTCTACTCTTACTTCCTTCAATCCGCCGCCAAAAGAGACCTTTCCAAAGCTCAAATCTAACCTGGATATTCCCCGCTTAAAACACTTCCATTTTCACATAGCCTTAAAATATCCACCGCCATCGAGTTGATTCCGACTCATAGCGACTCTGTAGGACAGAGTAGAATTGCCCCATAGCGTTTCTAAGGCTGTAAATCTTTACAGAAGCAGACTGCCACGTCTTTCCCCTACTGTCTTAAAATACTTTCCCCTAAATTACAACCGTCAGGGTTGTATCCTTTCAACATACTTATTCAATCTGTATGCTGAGCAAATAATTCGAGAAGCTGGACTATATGAAGAAGAACGAGGCATCAGAATTGGAGGAAGACTCATTAACAACCTGTCATGCAGATGACACAACCTTGTTTGGTGAAAGTGAAAAGGACTTGAAATACTTCCTGATGATGATCAAAGACCACAGCCTTCAGTATGGATTACGTCTCAACATAAAGAAAACAAAAATCCTCACAACTGGATCAATAAGCAACATCATGATAAATGGAGAAAAGACTGAAGTTGTCAAGGATTTCATTTTACTTGGACCCACAATCAACACCCATGGAAGCAGCAGTCAAGAAATCAAAGATGTATTGCATTGGGGAAATTTGCTGCAAAAGTCCTCTTTAAAGTGTTAAAAAGCAAAAATATCACCTTGAGGACTAAGGTGCACCTGACCCAAGCCATGGTATTTTCAATTGCCTCATATGCATGTGAAAGCTGGACAATGAATAAGGAAGACCAAAGAGTTGACGCCTTTGAATTGTGGTGTTGGAGAAGAATATACACCATGGACTGCCAGAAGAACGGACAAATCTGTCTTGGAAGAGTACAGCCAGAGTGCTCCTTGGAAGCAAGGATGGCGAGACTTGATCTCACATACTTTGGACATATTATCAGGAAGGATCAGTCCCTGGAGAAGGACATCATGCTTGGTGGAGTAGAGGGTCAGTGAAAAAGAGGAAGACCCTCAATAGGATGGATTGACACAGTGGCTACAACAATGGGCTCAAGCATAACAAGGATTGTGAGGATGGCGCAGGACCGGGCAGTATTTCGTTCTGTTGTACACAGGGTTGCTATGTGTTGGAACCTACTTGACAGCACCTAACAACAACAACAAATTAGTTATTAATTACAAAGAGAAAAATGGTAACTTTACAGTGGAGAAACCTGGCAGAGACCACCTTAGCCAAATAACGAAAGTTAACGTAATCAGTCATGAGACATATGGCCATCATGTGTGTGCCTCCTGATAGATCAGCAGAAAGGACACACCATCGCATCTGTGATATTCCTGACAAACACGCATGACCTGAACCTCATCATGAGGGAACACCAGACAAACCCAAGCTGAAGGACATGCCACAAAGTAACTGACCTATACTCTTATCAAAAGTGTCAAAGGCCGTGAAAGACAAAGAAAGACTTAGGAACATTCTAGATTAAAGGAGATGGAAGAGACATAACAACAAAATGCAGTACATCATTCTGGATTGGACCCTGGATGAGAGTGCAGGGGAAGGACGTTATTGCCACAGCTGACAAAATTTGCTCATATGGACTGGGAATTAGGTAATAATATGTATCAACGTCAAACTTCCTGATTTTCATAACTGTACTGTGGTTCTGTAAAAGCACAGCCTTGCCCTGAAGAAATACACATTGACATATTTAGGGTAAAGAGGCATGACGTCTCCAGCTTATTCGCAAATGGTTTAGGGGGAAAAGTATACATATGCTTTATGTACGTATAAGAAAATGATAAAGCGAACAGACAAATGTAAACAATTGGTACATCTGGGTAAAGGGCATGTGGAGTTCCTTGTACTCTTTTTGTAACTTTTCTGTAAGTTTTAAATTGCATTTAAATTTAAAGCTATTTTAAAAATTGGGGGGAACCTCTATAGCACCCCCCCACCCTTAAGACAAACATGCCCCCAGGAAGCCCCTTGGATCCCGGCCCCTGTAGATGCTGACACCTCATTCCTCCCACTGTCCCCCATACTCACCTTTCCCATCTATGAACCCACCCATCTCCTCCTTCCCATTCCAGGACTTCCACAATGTTCCTCTTCTTGTCGGGAAAGCTATCTTCCCACCCCTTTGCCTGTTAACACCTGCTCACCTTTCTGGCCTCGAATATCTCTTCCAGAGAGAAGCCGCTCCCCTCCCTGGTTCCTCAGACCTGGGTTGTCCCCTATTACACAAGCTCATGGTGTCCTGTGTCTTCATTGCACTTGTCAGAGTTTAGAATGTTAGTAGTCAACCCTCATCCAGCACTTCCTCTGTAACAAGCACTGTTCAAAGGCTTTACATGTATTATCTCATTTAATCCTCTCAACAACTCTATTAAATAAATAAACCCACTGCCATTGAGTCCATTCTAACTCATGACAACCCCGTGAGTTCCACTGGGATTCCGTAATCCGGCTTTTCCTTTATCTCTTTCCTCGTTTTATAGGTGAAGAATCTGGAGCTTGGAAAGTTAGGGTTTGCCAAGGTTGTACCCCAAAAGGAAATCTTAGAAGCCCATTATCCTGACATCCCCTTCTACATGGTTTGTGTGCTGACACAGAAGGAAAGGAGAAACTCAGGAAGAGTGATGTTTGGAGGGAGATTGGAGGGTGTTGAGGGGAGATGATTCTCACCTCATAGTGGGGGTGCTCAGGGGGCACAGCCTCAAACTGGGGGAGGCTTTTGCTGAACCAGGTGGTGACTGGGCGCTGCATATTGATGGCAAACGGTTCAAAGCCTTCCTGGAGGCCGCAGATGGCGAAGAACCGCAGGGAGCTCACGTCCTGGCCCAGGTTCAGGTGACCCACCTGGCCAGGTCCCAAGCTGCAGACGGGCAGGAAGCCTGGTGGGAGGGGACAGATGGGTAGGGATGAGGGAAGAGGGTGGGTGGGCAAGGCAGGTATGGGAAGGAAGCACAGTGGCAGGAAGAGATGGAAAAGTGGGAGGCCGGAGAGGGGCGTGTAGGGCCAGGTGAGATGGGGGGAAACCAGTAAAGGACACAAACGGGTCTCAGCGCCCCAAGGCCAGCCCTCACCATCCCCAATCTCGATATCCCGGAAGGCTGTTTCGGAGCCTGAGTCGGACATGAGGATCTCGCCATTGAGGGTGAAGATGATGTTGTTCTCTGTGAGGTCAATCATGCAGCCGACAACGTCACCAGGCTGCCAGGGACGCCCAAACAGTTCACTGCCCAAGTGCCAGCGCTGGCCCTGTGAGAGGCCCAGGGAGACACACAGAGAAACGGAGATATATAGAAGCAGCGGGAGAGAGATGGGTGAAAAAACATACACAGGGCATCGGATCCAGGACATGGAGAACAGAGGAGGGGCCGCCCCCACAGAGGCCCCTATCTTTCCCCACGCTTGCATCCATCATCTCTGGATTTAAAGGGTGGGCTTTCATGGTCTCTGCATCTCACCCCTTCTTCCTGGGTCTGGGGCCTCTGCTGTTTCTACAGTTGGTGTTACACAGACCACCAAAATGATGGGGGGGAGGGGGGTTGAAGGCAGAGCAAGTAGGGAATGGAAAAGAAAAATGAACCTATCAATGTCCCCCATGTAGATCATATATGTCCCCAAAATAGATTGGTGGATAATGAGATGATGGATAGGAAGTTGGATGCATGGTGGATGGAAGAATGAATGGAAAGTTAAAGAGTATACATGAGTAGATTCAGGGAAGGAAGAAAGTGTCAGTAGATGCATAGATAGATAGATGCGTGGATGGGTGGATACGTGAATGAATTGGCAGATATGTGCATTAAATTATTGGGCAGATGAATAAATAGACAAATAAAATCACAAATAGATTAAATAGATGGATCAACAAAAATAGGTGAACACATAGATGCAAGAGTGGATGGCTGGGTGATTATATGGACAGATAGTAGATGAATGGATAGGTGAATGAATAGATGGATTTGTGGATGGATGACTGGATGAGTGGACGAGTGGATGGTGATGAATGATGGATAGATATATGCATAGACAGAAGGAGAGGGAAGAATGGATGGGTGGGCAGGTGAAAGGATGGATGTTAGATGAGTAAATGGTAAGGTATCTTATGTACTACCAAACACCTCATGGGATTTGCTTCCTTGGTGTGGAGGGTTAGGGTCATGGTTTCATGGGGCATCCCAGTTAAGTGGCCTAACATCATGTTTAGTGCTTCTGTTCTATCTCCTAGTTCATTGCGTAGAGCCTGGGGTCTTAAAAGCTTGCAAGTGGCCATCCAAGGCACAGCAATTGGTGTCTATCCATCCGGAGCAACAGAGGAAGAAGGAGAGTCAGGAATAGGAGGAGGAAATGGAATGTGTGGCTAATTGCCTCCATGAACAACTGCCTCCTTTGCCATGAGACCAGAACTGGATGGTGCCCAGCTGCCATTACTGAATGTTTTGATCCAAGATTGTATAAAAGAACCCTGATCAAAAGCAAGAAAATGCAGAACGGAATTTTAAATTCTCATGGAATCCAGAATTTCTGGAGCCATGGAGGCTGGGTGAACCCCTGAAACTATTGCCCTGAGATAATCTTTAAACCTTAAACCAAAAGTATCCCCTGGAGCCTTCTTAAAACCAAACAATAGTTTAGCTTAACTAGTAATTAACGTCTTCTTGAGCATTGTGCTCTTTTAGGAACTAACTATATGGGATCAAACTGACAATAGCAACTCGGAAGATTAGATCGGAACCTTAGGGGGCAGCGAGTTTATGTTACTGGGGGAGTAACAACTCAGAAAAGGAGGGTGAGTGTGGTTGTATAACTTGAAGAATGTAATCAATGTCACTGAATCGTACATGTAGAAATTGTTGAATTGCTGTACGTTCTGCTGTGTATATTCTCAACAATAACAACAAATAAAATGAATTATTCTAAAAAAAAA